GCTTTTCTTTTTCCCCAGTGCAACGTTTAAAAGTTCTTCCTCTCCCTCAGACTATTTTTAATTCTGCTAGATTTCTTTCTGCTTCAGGACCCATCCTGCTAAGCTTTGATCATTTCTGTCACTGTGACTAACATTCCTGCTTCCTGATCATGGCTCACCTGGACTGATACTCCTCAACTGAACATCCTTCTGTAACATATGATCCATATGACTTTCCTTCTGTGTACAGCAGCCACTTATCTTCTCTGTCATGGCAGTGTGAATTGGATTCCACCCAAAGGAAACAATTCAACAGTACAAATAAAACCGTATGACTCAACTCAAACATTATTGAATGAATACTCATCCATGTCATCTCACACCTGCAACACATCAGCTTTTAAATGGCTAAGCTTTCCTGTTTGCTTGTTGTTTCTTTACAAATCTAGTTAATAGAAAACCAAGCATCTGGACTACAAGCAGACAACAAATGGACATTTGTAAGCTTCTAGTACCAAACGTCTTGTTCCTCGTCCTGCATATTAATATGGAGATATCTAATTGTTGAAATGAAAGGCCTGCTGATGTGTACAAATGAAAAAAACAAGGTCATACCACTTGTTCAGTAATCCACAGAAACCAAAAACCCATTAGCAGTGCTCCTTCCTGTCTCTAGCGAACAAAGGGGTGAAAATATTGTGCCCGTAGGCTGGGAAAGCTTTCATAATACTGCATGTGCTCGTGTGTGTTCCACATGTACTGTGTTCAGCTCTTTTCCATCAGTCATAATTCAGTGACTGCACACAGTGATGATGTATAGAAATGAAACCTAATTCGTGACACTGTGTCAAATGTCTTGTAACAATTTTCTTGTCTCCACAATATTTTGTACGGTACAAATTCAGCAAATATATGTATGTGTACGAAAACAGGGCCGAGGCAGATTATGCTGCAACAGCTCATTTATTATAAGCACACAAACGGTTTTAGCAACAAACCAACACTAAGCCTAGAAAGTGCGTGTGGATGGATTTCATGCACTTGCACAACAAATGACTGACCGAGAGCAAGCATAATTAAGCAAGTGTATTTGAGGTTTAATTAGCTTTCTCATGGGTGTAGTGCTTTGTACCTCATTGGCAAGTTCCACAGGAAACAAAGCAAACATATCCAGTCATAAATAAAGTCTGCACTGCAGAAGCTCCATCTTTTTGGAGTCTTGTGTACTTGCACATGCATCCTTACAGATTTTGTGCACTATGGAGCCAGTGGACTTTATCTTGGAGCATCTGACTGCGATATTCTGATCAGTGTATACAATGAATAAAAGAAGAAGTAAACTGGGAACATTGTAGTATAATCAGGGTCTGTAAGCAAGAATCTTGTGAAAAATGTGAAACCACTCACAAAGATGTAAAAAATGTTTGCAATAAGGCATCAGTTCACCTGGGGCGGCAAAACCTGATACAAAGATGCTTCTGCATGAAGTGAGATCCTTGTGAAAACTTCATGCATATACCTAACAAGCAGACATAGACAAGATAGAAGATGAGAAGCTAAACTGAGGACAGGCAGGCAGCACAGTGCATGCTTCCATGTGTACAGTAAAAAGAAAGAAACTAATTTCATCTTTCCACAAAGCTCTTTATTCTCTGTTATACTCATCGTATTATCATGTAATTATT